ATTCACCATGGCTATAAAAATATCAAATTAATCATTAAACCTCTTCAGATACACACCAAAACTCACATGCCACAGCTCAAATCCAAGCTGTAAAATGATAATACAATATAGATAAAAATCACACTTCGCATGAAACTGTTCAATGCCACAGCTCTTTTCTCATTTCTAACTATCCATTTCTCAGACGTTCTATTAAAGGATCAACACTAGCTTTAGTGACTCTTTTCCTATTCAAATACTTGTACATTACATAAAGTACTCCAGAAAGATGGCAATCAATCAGAACCTTTGCAATTCAGTGTGGAGCTGGAGGAACACAGCAGGCCAGGCAGCTCAGAGTAGCAGGAAAGTTGACGTTTTGGGTTGGGACCTTTCTTCAGAAAGGCTCTTCTGAAGGAGGGTCCCAACCCAAAACGTCAACTTTCCTGTTCCTCTGACGCTGCCTGGCCTGCTGTGTTCCTTCAGCTCCGCACTGTGTTGTCTCTAACTCCAGCATCTGCAGTTCTTGCTATCTCCCTTTGCAATTCACTTTCTTTTTACAGCCTGTGATATACTTCATCCGTGTCACTATGTTTACTTTCAAAGAGATCAAACCCTTAATGCTTGATTACAGTATTCATTCCAACCATATTAGACATTTCTCTGCCTTAACCACCGCATATCGTCATTGGCCTCCTTTTTTGTCAAGCAGCCAAAGTATTTAAAAACTTATCTAAAAGAAGAAAACCTTTTTGATCCCTAACAGGCCATCCACCTGTAAGTAACCAAGAGGATAGATGAGGGTAGGGTGGTGGATGTTGTTTATATAGACTTTACTAAGGCCTTTGACAAGGTCCAACACAGTAGGCTAGTCATGAAGGTTAGGTCACTCGGGATCCAGGAAGAGCTAGCTAATTGGATTCAAATTTGGCTTGATGATAGGAAGCAGAGGGTGATGGCTGAAGGTTGTTTCTTGGACTGGAGGCTTGTGACTAGTAGAGTGCCACAAGGGCCGGTGCTGGGACCTTTGTTATTCGTTGCTTACATAAATGATCTGGATGTGAATGTAAAAGGAATGATTAGTAAGTTTGCAGATGATAAAAAATTAGGAGGTATCCTTGACAGTAATGAAAGTTATCAGAAATTACAGAAGGATCTTGATCAGATGGGGAAGTGGGCTGAGGACTGGCAAATTCCATTCAATACAGATAAGTGTGAGGAGTTACACCTCGGAAAATCAAACCAAGGTAGGGTTTATACAGTAAATGGCAAGGTCCTGAGGAGAGCTGTGGAACAGAGGGACCTAGCAGCATAAGTACATAGTTCGTTGAAAGCAGCGTCACAAGTGGACAGGGTGGTGAAGAAGACCTTTTGCATGCTTGCCTTCATCGGTCAATGCACCGAGTATAGGAGTTGGGACGTTATGTTACAGTTGTATAAGTCATTAGTGAGGCTGCACATGGAAGTATTATGTACAGTTTTGGTCACCCTGTTATAGGAAAGACATAGTTAAACTGGAAAGTGTGCAAAAAAGATTTACGGGGATGTTGAGATAACACAGTGTGGAGCTGGAGGAACATGGCAGGCCAGGCAGCATCACAGGAGTAGGAAAGTTGACATTTCGGGTAGGGACGAAAAGCTTTCCTACTCCTCTGATACTGCCTGGCCTGCCATGTTCCTCCAGCTTCACACGTATCTCTGACTCCAGCATTGGCAGTTCTTACCATCTCTTTACGAGAACATTGCCTGGACTAATTGGCCTGAGTTATAGGGGGAGTTTAGCCAGGATAGGACTTCATTCCTTGCAACATAGGGGAATGAGGGGATGACCTTATTGAGGTGTACAATATCATGAGGGGCATTGATAGGATGAATGAATTTAGTCTTCTCCCCAGGGATAGGGAATTAAAAACTAGAGGGGCACAGGTTTAAGGTGAGAGGGCAAAGATTTAAGAAGGATCTGGAGGGCAACTTCTTCCTAACTCCTATACTCCCAACTTCTTCACGCAGAGAGTGGTGCGTATATGGAACGAGCTACCAGAGAAAGTAGTTGAGGCAGGTAAAAAAGCAATATTTAAAAAACATTTGGATAGATTCGTGGATGGGAATGGTTTACGGGGATATGGACCAAATGCGGGCAATTAGAACTAGCTAAGTGGGCAACATGGTTAGCGTGGACCAGTTTGGGCTGAAGGGCCTGTTTCAATGCTATATTACTCTAGGACTCTATCACTGATGTCTGATGTTATCTGCATATCAAAGAATCATGAAACCAATCCATCTAGTCGTGAGATAGTAGGAACTGCAGATGCTGGAGAATCTGAGATAACACGGTGTAGAGCTGGATGAACACAGCAGGCCAAGCAGCAGAGGAGCAGGAAGGCTGACCTAGACGGGTCTAGGCCTGAAACGTCAGCCTTCCTGCTCCTCTGATGCTGCTTGGCCTGCTGTGTTCATCCAATGCTACACTGTGTTATCTAGTCATGATTTGGACTGGTGATACAGAACTGTGTACTACTTATGACTTTTTTCTCCCCTTCTATTCATAACATTTCTATGTGTGGGGGTTTATCTGTGTGCATACGTACACGAGAGAAATTGAGAGGGATTTTAAAAGGGGTAAAGTTTAAAGGTTCATAAGTTAAAAAGAATAGTCAAAAACTAGGATTTGTAAGTGAGTGTTACAGTGAGCTGTTTTTATTGTTACAAACCAAGTATGCTTTTCCTCCAGGTAACAATTAGTCAAAGGCAAATTTGGTATTTCAGTAGTTTCATTAAAATCTTTACATTTGCGGTTATCCTGGGAATATTGGGCTCGGATCTCCAGCACACTGTTCCAGTGAGTTACAACTCAGGCAAGCACTAGAGATCAAGCTATAGTGTAATTATCCAAAACATTCAAATTATCACTGCTACGTGTAACAAGAAGTTTTCACCAGGTTGTTTCAGTAAACTTAAAAATAAAATCAATCATTCATTAAAACCACAAACCTATGCTTTAAGCACTAGGCCAAACCACTTATCAACCAAGTTATCACGCAGGACTAAACCATACCTCTTCAATACCAATAACCGTGTCCCCCCGCCCAACACACACACACACACACATACAGGACAACAACAGTTCTGCAGAGCAATTATAAATGGAAATATAGGCATAAACCTTGCTGATCAGGGGTCCAAACTAAGAGTAAGAGTAAGAGAAAGAGGGATGACTTTCTCAGTTCCTTCAGTTTCTTGTTGACAGAAACATGAGCCTGTCAGCCAAAGACTCCATTAGTTCAGGTGGCAGGCCAACAGAAAACAGTTTTTTCGAATGAGTTAACAGTTCACCTTTTAAAGTGCACGAGATCAGGTATATTGATCCTCGAGCTCTGATTATCAGCTAATATTTAAAACAATATTTCTTCAACTAGCCTTTAGAAGATTATATTGTCACTCAGGGAGTGAAAGATAGCTATTTTACCCCTTACCAGCTTATTCCAAGTGTTCATAATTATTTCATGTATTCCAAAACACACAATGCCTCAGACCAGAGGCTGTTTCTAGACCATCTTCAACAGAGGATTTTGGAAGGGGTTAAATTTGTTTGCCTACCAATTTTAGGCCATTAAACATAGTCTAATCTCTCATATAAAGGCTCTTAGTCTTATTATTTAAGTTTATTAAAGTCATCCTGCTTTTTAATAATTCCATATTCTTTTAATTTTTTTCAGTAAGTCACATGGTAAATCTTTTACAACTTGGGAATGGTCTAAAGCTTCCATTTTCCAATTCTCTCAATCCAAAAATGCGTCATCCACCATCAAGCATTACACATATTATCCTTCAATACAGCGCACCCATCACATCACCTAAAGCAAGTGCATTACTTTCGCTTTCATAGGTAACTATATTAGATGATGAACTGGATCATACAAACTAATAATATTCAAAAATGCAAGAACATACAAGTACGACACATCAGTGACAACATTTCTGAATGACTAATAGATAAAAATAAACGTTAAGTTGACCCTTTAAATACAGCTTGTAAACAATTCCTCAAAGTCTGGAGTTCTTCTATCAGTACAGACTCAAAAAATCAGAAGCACATGATAACAAGGGAACTTTCATGGAATCTAATTGAAATTAAATGATTTTTTTAGGCGAAGATAAAAATAATAATTGAGGATCTTTAATATTGCATCTGAAAATACATTCAGTTGAAAAGTTACTAATTTAAATACCTTCTGCCTAAGTTGAAGGTTTCTCCTTTGTTTTTACAGTTGAATGCAATGAAAGTCTAACTGCAATTAAGTTTCGTTTGTTAATCTAACAGCAACGTTACATGGGTCTAACAACCCACTTGGCAAAAGCCAGTACTCGATTCAAAATGGAGAATCCAAACAAAAACTGTCCACAAAGTGACGTTTGGCCTTCGCATCACCACCTCGCTGCACTCACTGCTCCTCACTGAGTGAGGAAGCAACAGCGTCTGATGAACACCACACCCGCTATATACGAACGTACATATATGTGTGCGTGTGTGTGGTTATGATGCGAAGCTTCAAGGTTCAGCGCGCGGCCCTTGAAAGGAAACCCAACGTGCAATTGGGGATTTCCTTTTGGGAGAATAATCGGTTTCCTAAATGTGACCTCTCCATGCAGCAGCTTGGCAGAGAGAGAGAGAGAGAGAGAGAGTTAACGGAGGAGGCGGGGGTTTCCTACGTGCACCGGAGGCAACAAGGCCGCCATTTTTCTTAGGAAAGGGCCTTCTCTGGAGCCTCACTTAATGTGATCGGAGGAAAAAAAAACACAAGACAGAGCGCCTCGGGGATATGGGGTGGGGAGAGGAATTCTGATTGGGGGGGGGGGGGGGGGGTGGGGGAAGGGGGAGGGAATCTGGTTAAGCGGCCGGGGCGGTGATTAAATGTGGGAGGAGAAAAAGGAGAGAGACAGAGACATGCGGATGCACTTCGTCAGTCTCTGCACCAGGGCCGGCACCGCTTGCTTTCCCTCCTTCCCGCTCGGCAGTCTACCTGCGCGGCTCTGCTGTCATCTCTCCCGCGGCTCCTATGGAAGGTGCGGCTTTGCTCCTCTCATCGGCGGCGATGGCTGTCCCTCGTTTCTCCTCCTCCCGCCGCGTCACTCTTCAAGGCCTCCGGCCTGCGACACTCTCTCTCTCTCTCGTCCCCTCCCCTAGCTGTTTGTCCGCCTAAACCCCGAACAGACAATACCGCGCCATGGCGCGCTCTCTCTCTCTCAGTTCGCTTCACCGACGCACAACGCTTCACCCACCCCCTTCCTTCCCCACTTTCCAATTGGGCCCGACGCATCCAGTATCCTCGGCGCCCATTGGTTGCTACGGAGCCCCGGGCCTACCATTACACATGAGGAAAAACAGAGGAATAGAAAAACGCAATCAAATTCAAGAGAAACCTCGAGTCAACCACCACCTTCCTCCCATCCCATATCCTTTTCTCCTTCCCCTCAAAAAAGGGGCGCCCACCTGTCATTCACTCGCTGGCCCGACTACATCGCGAATCGGCCCGTCCTCCCACTTCGAGTTATCGCCATTGCTATCGAGAAAAGAAGGTTGTTCCTATGGTGACCAAGGCTGTCAGTCGTAAAGGTCATGTGCTGCGCCCGCGCCTCCAATAAGATCGCGAGCTCTGCACAAGACGTCATGGAAAGATCGCTCGGGGCAGTAAACGTTGATGTTATTGGCTGCTTTCGCAGCTTCATCGCATTGATTGGATGATGGTGACGTTGCTCTGGTAACTGTTGCTATGGCAACTGTTGCTATGGCTATTGGGATGTTCAGCGAGGTAGCCAACTAGAAAATATTATTTGGGGATTTTTAAAAAATAATTCGAAGATTTAATTGGATTTACGAAGGACAGACGTTGTGGTTGGAATATTCATCATTTTTCTTCGTGGTTATGATCTAATTAATGGTGCTGTGTAGGAGAGGCAAAGAAAGCAATTGAATTGTTGTAAAGAAATGGTGGCAATGATCTATGTAGGGGGTAGGTCTGCATCTCCTTTCTTCGCACCTCAAGTATAATACAAATAAGAGCAATTTTTTTCAAGTGTCAAAAATGTCATAAGATTACACTGTAACAGTTAATATTCAGCATTATTGCACTTGTCCATATTTCCACAACAATTAGCACTGCTATTGGTCTGCTTCTGCAGCAGTATAGTATTGTAGAGATAGAATTTATTCAATACGTCAGCTAGACTCTGAGATTATTCTGGCAGGGGAATTGAGTATAAGAGCCGGGAGGTTATGCTGCAGCTCTATAAAATCCTGGTTAGACCACACTTGGAATATTGTGTTCAGTTCTGGTCACCTCATTATAGGAAGGACATAGAAGCTTTAGAGAGGGGGCAGAGGAGGTTTACCAGGATGCTACCCGGACTGGAGGGCAGGTCTTATGCGTAAAGGTTGAGGGAGCTAGGGCTTTTTTCACGGGAGCAAAGGATGAAAGATGACTTGATAGAAGTGTACAAGATGACGAGAGACATAGATAGAGTGAATAGTCAGACACTTTTTCCCAGGGTGGAAATGACTATTACGAGGGGGCATAATTTTAAGGTGATTGGAGGAAGGTATAGGAGAGATGTCAGAGGTAGGTTCTTTACACGGAGAGTGGTGGGCATGTGGAATGTGCTGCCGACAGTGGTAGTGGAGTCAGATACTTTAGAGACTTTTAAGCAACTCTTGGATAGGCACATGGAGGATAGCAAAATGTAGGGTATGCAGGATAGTTTGATCTTAGTAGGATAATAGGTTGGCACAACATTGTGGGCCAAAGGGCCTGTACTGTGATGTACTGTTCTATGCTCTATGATGAGGAATTCGACTAGTCACAGGCTGCCATCCTGGAAAAGACCCTGTATCCCCACACTCTGCCTTGTACCAGTCAGCCAATCCTTTATCTGTGCCAGTACCTTGCCCCCTACACCATGGGCCCTTATCTTACTTAACAGGCTTCTGTGCAGCACCTTGTCAAAGGCCTCTAGAATTCCAAATAAATCACGTCTATTAAATAAGTAAGGCTATCAAATTGAAAGATAAGGCATACAGAGTGGGAAACTAGAAAATTGGGAAAACTTTAAACTTCAACAGAAAGCCACAAAAAAGGCTATAAAGAAAAGAAAGACATTACAAGAGTAAACTAGCTCAGAATATAAAGAGTGATAACAGAAGTTCCTACAACCATATAAAACAAAGAGTGGCTAAGGTAAACAGTGGGCCTTTAGAGGATAACAAGGGGGATTTAATAATGGGAAATGAGGAAATAGCCAAGGCATTGAACAGGTATTTTGTGTTGGTCTTCATAGTAGAGGACACGAATAACATGCCAGTACTTGATGACAAGGAGACGAAGAGGTAGGTAAGGACCTAGACAGGATCATTCTCATGAAAGAGGTAGTGTTGAGCAAGCTAATAGAGATAAAGTCAGACAAGTCTCCTGGCCCTGATGGAATGCATCTCAGGGTACTAAAAGAGACGACAGGAGACACAACAAATGCACTCATGGTAATTTTCCAAAAGTCGCTGGACTCTGGGGCAGTTCCAGCAGATGTGACACTACTGTTTAAAAAAGGAGGGAGACAAAAGATGGGGAATTGTAGGCGGGTTAGCTTAACTTCTGTAGTGGGGAAAATGCTTGAATCTAACATCAAGTAAGAAATAGCAAGACATCTAGATAGAAATTGTCCCCTTTGGGCAGACGCAGCATGGGTTTATGAAAGGCAGATCATGCTTAACTAACTTACTGGAATTCTATGAAGATTTTATGAACGTGGTGGATAACAAGAATCCAGTAGATGTGGTGTATCTAGATTTCCAGAAGACATTTGACAAATCACCTGGACCAGATGGACTGCACCCCAGAGTTCTGAAGGAGATAAATGAGATTGTAGAGGTATTTGTAGTAGTCTTTCGGAAATCACTGGAATCAAGGATGGACCCAGATGACTGGAAAATGGCTAATGTAACATCCCTGTTTTGATGAAAATTAAGACAGGCAGTAAGAGAATGTCTTCTGGAAATCTAGATACACCACATCTACTGTATTTTGCCACACAGAAGGCTGCTGCATAAGATAAATGTGCACGGTGTTATGGCAATATATTAGCATAGATGGAGGATTGGTTAACTAACAGGAAGCAAAAAGTGGGGATAAATAAATCCTTTTCTGGTTGGCAGTGACTAGTGGTGTGCCTCGGATCAGTGTTGAGACCATAATTATTTACAAGTTACACAGTTGATTTGGAGTTGGGGACCATATGTAGTGTGTCAAAATTTGCAGATGACACTAAGATGAGTGGTAGAGCAAAGTGTGCAGAAGACTCAAAGTTTGCAGAGGGATATAGATAGTTTAAGTAAGTGGGAAAAGGTCTGGCAGATAGAATACAATGTTGATAAATGTCAAGTCATCCATTTTGGTAGGAATAACAGTAAAAAGGCATATTATTTGAACGGTAAAAAATTGTAGCATGCTGCTGTGTAGAGGGACCTGGGTGTACTTGTACATGCATGAATCGCAGAATGTTGGTTTGCAGGTACACAGGTAATTAAGAAGGCAGATGGAATTTTTCCCTTCATTACTAGGGAGATTATGTTGCAGCTGTATAGGGTGTTGGTGAGGAGTATTGCACGCAGTTTTGGTCTCCGTACTTAAGAAAGGATGTACTCGCGCTGAAGGGGGTGTGGAGGAGATTCACTAGGTTGATTCCAGAGTTGAGAGGGTTGACTTTGAGGAGAGACCGAGTAGACTGGGATTGTATGCATTAGAATCGAGAAGAATGGGGGTGGGATCTTATAGAAACATATAAAATTATGAAGGGAATAGATAAGGTAGAAGCAGGGAGGTTGTTTCCACTAGCGGGTGAAACTAGAACAAGAGGGCATAGCCTCAGAAGTAGGGTGATCAGATTTAGGACTGAATTGAGGAGGAACGTTTTCACCCACAGGGTTGCGAATCTGCGGAATTCCCTGCCCAGTTAAGTAGTTGAGGCTTCCTCATTGAAGTGTTTTTAAAGCTAAGATAGATAAATTTTTGAACAATAAAAGGAATTAGGGGTTATGGTGAGAGGGTGGGTAAGTGGAACTGAGGTCATGAAAAGATCAGCCATGATCTTATTGAACGGCCTACTCCTGCTCCTGGTTCTTGTGTTCTTACTAGGTCTCCTTTGTCTAACTTTCTTGTTACCACCTCAAAGAATTCTAACAGATGACCTCCCCTGACAAAAACATGGTAACTTAGCACTATTTTACCATACACTTCAGAGTACTCCATAATCTCATCCTTAATAATAGACAGTAAAAATCTTATCAGTGACAAAAGGTCAGGCTTACTGGCACAGATTCCTATCTTCTGCCTGTCTCCCTTCTTAAAACAGGGATGTTACATTAGCCATTTGCCAGTCCTCGATTCCAGTGATTTCTGAAAGATTTCCACCAATACCTCTACAATCTCATTTATCTCCTTCAGAACTCTGGGGTGCAGTCCATCCGGTCCAGGTGATTTTAGCCACCGTTAGACCTTTCAGCTTCCCCACCAGCTTCTCCTTATTCATGGCCACTACACTCATCTCTGTCCCCTGATTCTTGACGTTCTGGTATGGTTCTCTAACCTGGTGGTTTGCCTTTCTTCTGCTCCCTCACCTTCTGTTGATGGAAGTGAGGGGAAAAAAAATGTTTAGTTTTATGGATCAGCGCATCCTTATAAGCCATATCATTATTGTCTACTTAGCTGTTGCAACTATCTTCAGTATAGGTGTAAAATTACTGGAAGAAGTCCATTTTTAAGTTCTTCCAAAATAATTTTCTTGAAAGCTACATGTGATGCACATACTCTTACTGCCTGTCTTAATTTTCATCAAAATTACTTTTATTTACCCCCCTCAAACTGTTTCCTGAAAATTCAAAACATTTGCCTGTGTACCTCAGGAACCAATCATGCAGAACAAGAATAGCCTTTTAAACTGCATTATAATCCATCAAAAAAATCTTCCTGTGGTGGTGATGAATAAATCCCATACGCTCTACCTTTCAACCTGCTCGGTAGCGTTCGGAATTCCTTCAGCCACCTAATTTCTTTTTGTTTAAATTTCAAATAACATAACAAATGCCTCCATATCTTTTTGCTCAAACTTAAATGCTTCCTCACTAGACTTTAGGCTGGGGTGTAAAGTGAATCCCTAGGTGACTATAAAAAGTGCAGGAGCACACTTAAGAGGCAATCAGAAGAGCAAAAAGACAGTA